TTCCTTTGTCTGAGTTCGGAGACCCCAGCCACGCATATAAACCATACGTCTCCGATTGCGGAGTACCCTGCAGGAAGTGGTTAATATTATCTGACTGACTGCCTTTGTCCAGCCATGACTGGTACGCATCTCCTTCATAATGCTTGAGCAAATTTATGTGTACCACTCAAGGCTTATGTCTGATTTTTCGCTGAACCGTGGCCACCATGTCAGTCACTTCCTTATTGATTCGATAAGGACCTTCCCATTTTGGCTGTAGCTTTGGAGACAGACCCCCTTTTCTGCTGACAAGGTGAACCATTACTGCATCGCAAGCTCTGGGTGTGCTTTGAGGTTGTAATGGCAGGGTTGGTACATGTAGATTGCTGATCATTTCAAGTGATTTCTGGCAATGTCATGGGAGTGCTCCATTTTCTGTCTCAGTTCAGTGGCATAGGCCAGGGACTCCAATGTCTCGTCCTGCTGAAAACCGTAGATGAGGTCAGTTGGAAGATCGGTCTGGCTACCAAGCATCATCCTGTTTGAACATTGTCCAGTGCTCTCATGAGGTGAGGTCCTATATGCCATCATCATCACTGTAGATAAACGTCTGTCCCAATCCTTTTGATTTGCCACTGTGTTTGTCCCCAACATTGTCTTCATAGTTCTATTCAACCTTTCAACTTACCCGTCGCTGTCTGGGTGGTAGGACGTGGTCCTTGTCTTGTTGCAATAAGGTACGTATCTCTTGGAAAAGGGTACTCTCAAATTGTCGACCTTGGTCACTGTGGAGCTCATGGGGTGCACCAAATCTACACACAAACTCATCAACCAACACTTGGGTGATGGTGTCTGCATCGATAGAAGGAATGGCATAGGCTTCAGACAACTTTATGAAGTAGTCCTAAACTACTAGCACCTATTGGTTGCCACCATGGGTCTCTGGGAAAGGTCCTGAAATATCTATGCCGACTCTGTTCATCGCCTGAGAGTTTCTGTTAGATCTTGACCCTTGCATGATGGTTCGGCATCTTTTGTTGGACACATGCTAAACACCGTCAACACCAGTCTACTACAGTCTCCCACATCTTATACCAATAAAAGTGACCCTTTAGCTTTTTGTACGTCTTACGAACCCAAGATGTCCTCCAGTTGGGCTGTTGTGTAAACTTGTCAGGATCTCTGCTTGCAACTCTGATAGAATAACCAGCAAGAAAATGACAATCTCACCTGTGTCATCCTCCCATCTCTTGTGTAGACCACCGTTCTTCATGCATAAGGGACAGGATAAAAATTACAGGGATCATTCACACGCGTTCGCACGAGTTCTCTTCCTTTCTGCATGCCCTCCCGTTGACCCCCATTCCAAAGGGTGAAGTGCAAGTCCTGTGCGTGCAAGAACGGCAGCACAACAAAGATGCGAAGAACATGCACACTAGCTGTTCCTGAGTCTGTTGGCTAACTGTGTCAACAGCGTTTGGTCCAAGAAGATTTTATTCCTCCCTCTTACAAACACTCATGCTGACCCTTTGATGTACCGACTTATTACATTTTCTACATTCTGGCTTAAAATGTCCAGGTTTGAGAACCGTTGAGGAAGGAAGGATTAATATTGTGAAAAAGAGTCACAGCAGAGAGAAAGAAGTTGTGTACAACAAGCAAGCATTTAATCGCTTGAGTCAGTGTGAGAAGCATGGTCCAACCAAGGTCAAGCTACATGTATGTGTACTTTACGTGCTTACAAATGCAAGTAACAATTACACACAAAAACCAGTTTAGTGACCGTCTCACTATGTAATGCAATTTCTCAGTTTGCTTTAGTTAGATAGGATCTTTCTGCTAGCAATAAGGTTGAATCAAATAACGACAACTGCTGTGTTTATCCGCTACCGGATGAACAAGAATAATACAAGAGCCCATGGAGGAGAAAATGGCTCCGATCCAAACTACAAAGCATGAATGTTGGCATGAGCCAGCACCCCCAGCGAT